TATCGCCTGCATCGAGATTCCAACGTCATATTGTTTTATATCGGCTTTTCCAGGCGCCAAACCTCTGGCGAAAACCACAGCAAAAGGGATATTTTAGGCAAGTGTACCGTGAACCGTTATTTCTTGTGAATATTCGAGTTTAGCCTCAATACAATGACGTTAGTCAACTCAGTTAAATTTATCATATGACAAAGAATGCAGTTTGCATGAGTTGTTCTTGTGTAGAACAAAACTGATAAACGAAACTAAAGACCTTGCTGTTGGTATATTCAATAGGCCATCATAGAAACGCACAACGCTACACTACTTAAAGAATGGCGGTCAGCTAAAAATGTCCAATTCGATTCTACGTAGATCTGACAATTGCTAAAACGTTACTCATATCGGTAATCAGATTAGTTTACCAAACATTTCACTGGTATTGAAGACATACGTTGTAAACGTTCTCTGGTATTGAAGAAATACGTTGTAAACGTTCTCTGGTATTGAAGACATACGTTGTAAACGTTCTCTGGTATTGAAGAAATACGTTGTAAACGTTCTCTGGTATTGAAGAAATACGTTGTAAACGTTCTCTGGTATTGAAGAAATACGTTGTAAACGTTCTCTGGTATTGAAGAAATACGTTGTAAACGTTCTCTGGTATTGAAGAAATACGTTGTAAACGTTCTCTGGTATTGAAAAATACGTTGTAAACGTTCTCTGGTATTGAAGAAATACGTTGTAAACGTTCTCTGGTATTGAAGACATACGTTGTAAACGTTCTCTGGTATTGAAGAAATACGTTGTAAACGTTCTCTGGTATGAAAGAAATACGTTGTAAACGTTCTCTGGTATTGAAGAAATACGTTGTAAACGTTCTCTGGTATTGAAGAAATACGTTGTAAACGTTCTCTGGTATTGAAGAAATACGTTGTAAACGTTCTCTGGTATTGAAGAAATACGTTGTAAACGTTCTCTGGTATTGAAAAAATACGTTGTAAACGTTCTCTGGTATTGAAGAAATACGTTGTAAACGTTCTCTGGTATTGAAGAAATACGTTGTAAACGTTCTCTGGTATTGAAGAAATACGTTGTAAACGTTCTCTGGTATTGAAGAAATACGTTGTAAACGTTCTCTGGTATTGAAGAAATACGTTGTAAACGTTCTCTGGTATTGAAGAAATACGTTGTAAACGTTCTCTGGTATTGAAGAAATACGTTGTAAACGTTCTCTGGTATTGAAGAAATACGTTGTAAACGTTCTCTGGTATTGAAGAAATACGTTGTAAACGTTCTCTGGTATTGAAGAAATACGTTGTAAACGTTCTCTGGTATTGAAGAAATACGTTGTAAACGTTCTCTGGTATTGAAGAAATACGTTGTAAACGTTCTCTGGTATTGAAAAATACGTTGTAAACGTTCTCTGATATTGAAGAAATACGTTGTAAACGTTCTCTGGTATTGAAGAAATACGTTGTAAACGTTCTCTGGTATTGAAGAAATACGTTGTAAACGTTCTCTGGTATTGAAGAAATACGTTGTAAACGTTCTCTGGTATTGAAAAATACGTTGTAAACGTTCTCTGGTATTGAAGAAATACGTTGTAAACGTTCTCTGGTATTGAAGAAATACGTTGTAAACGTTCTCTGGTATAGAAGAAATACGTTGTAAACGTTCTCTGGTATTGAAGAAATACGTTGTAAACGTTCTCTGGTATTGAAGAAATACGTTGTAAACGTTCTCTGGTATTGAAGACATACTTTGTAAACGTTCTCTGGTATTGAAAAATACGTTGTAAACGTTCTCTGATATTGAAGACATACGTTGTAAACGTTCTCTGGTATTGAAGACATACTTTGTAAACGTTCTCTGGTATAGAAGAAATACGTTGTAAACGTTCTCTGGTATTGAAGACATACTTTGTAAACGTTCTCTGGTATTGAATAAATACGTTGTAAACGTTCTCTGATATTGAAGACATACGTTGTAAACGTTCTCTGGTATTGAAGAAATACGTTGTAAACGTTCTCTGGTATTGAAGAAATACTTTGTAAACGTTCTCTGGTATTGAAGAAATACGTTGTAAACGTTCTCTGGTATTGAAGAAATACTTTGTAAACGTTCTCTGGTATTGAAGAAATACGTTGTAAACGTTCTCTGGTATTAAAGAAATTCGTTGTAAACGCGACAGGCCAATTTGAAACACTGTTCTACACTTTACCTTCACAAATATTGTGTTTGCTGTAACGTTTCACACGCTAAGTAGCTCTAATTGAATACAAAAAACACTACAGCTACCCTCAAGAAAATTCAGTGTTTTCCCTGTGCTTACCTTTTATTTAGAGATGAATGTCGTCTTGCATAGCCAACCCATGATTCACGTAAACTTTGCCTCAAATCAAAGTTGCCGCGCGATGAAAGTATTCCAACGACCAAATCATAATGAGAATAATTCTCTGCTGTCAAGAACATTATTTTAAAACATTAAAGAAAACAAGTGGAAACACAAATACAAAATGGACTATGTAGGATAAAGTTTTAGATAACATGGTTAAATAACACTAGCGAAAGTTTCAATAAAAGATCACTCTTGATGAAAACATAAGACTGGAGTATATAAGGACTCAAGATTCAACATCAGATCACTCCTGATGAAAACATAAGACTGGAGTATATAAGGACTCAAGATTCAACATCAGATCACTCTGATGAAGACACTAGACTGGAGTATATAAGGACTCAAGATTCAACATCAGATCACTCCAGATGAAGACATTAGTCTGGAGTATATAAGGACTCAAGATTCAACATCAGATCACTCCTGATGAAGACACTAGACTGGAGTATATAACGACTCAAGATTCAACATCAGATCACTCCTGATGAAAACATAAGACTGGAGTATATAAGGACTCAAGTTTCAACATCAGATCACTCCTGATGAAGACACTAGACTGGAGTATATAAGGACTCAAGTTTCAACATCAGATCACTCCTGATGAAGACACTAGACTGGAGTATATAAGGACTCAAGATTCAACATCAGATCACTCCTGATGAAAACATAAGACTGGAGTATATAAGGACTCAAGATTCAACATCAGATCACTCCTGATGAAGACACTAGACTGGAGTATATAAGGACTCAAGATTCAACATCAGATCACTCCTGATGAAAACATAAGACTGGAGTATATAAGGACTCAAGTTTCAACATCAGATCACTCCTGATGAAGACACTAGACTGGAGTATATAAGGACTCAAGTTTCAACATCAGATCACTCCTGATGAAGACACTAGACTGGAGTATATAAGGACTCAAGATTCAACATCAGATCACTCCTGATGAAAACATAAGACTGGAGTATATAAGGACTCAAGTTTCAACATCAGATCACTCCTGATGAAGACACTAGACTGGAGTATATAAGGACTCAAGTTTCAACATCAGATCACTCCTGATGAAGACACTAGACTGGAGTATATAAGGACTCAAGATTCAACATCAGATCACTCCTGATGAAAACATAAGACTGGAGTATATAAGGACTCAAGTTTCAACATCAGATCACTCCTGATGAAGACACTAGACTGGAGTATATAAGGACTCAAGATTCAACATCAGATCACTCCTGATGAAAACATAAGACTGGAGTATATAAGGACTCAAGATTCAACATCAGATCACTCCTGATGAAGACACTAGACTGGAGTATATAAGGACTCAAGATTCAACATCAGATCACTCCTGATGAAGACACTAGACTGGAGTATATAAGGACTCAAGTTTCAACATCAGATCACTCCTGATGAAGACACTAGACTGGAGTATATAAGGACTCAAGTTTCAACATCAGATCACTCCTGATGAAAACATAGACTGGAGTATATAAGGACTCAAGATTCAACATCAGATCACTCCTGATGAAGACACTAGACTGGAGTATATAAGGACTCAAGATTCAACATCAGATCACTCCTGATGAAACATAGACTGGAGTATATAAGGACTCAAGTTTCAACATCAGATCACTCCTGATGAAGACACTAGACTGGAGTATATAAGGACTCAAGTTTCAACATCAGATCACTCCTGATGAAGACACTAGACTGGAGTATATAAGGACTCAAGATTCAACATCAGATCACTCCTGATGAAAACATAAGACTGGAGTATATAAGGACTCAAGATTCAACATCAGATCACTCCTGATGAAGACACTAGACTGGAGTATATAAGGACTCAAGTTTCAACATCAGATCACTCCTGATGAAGACACTAGACTGGAGTATATAAAGACTCAAGTTTCAACATCAGATCACTCCTGATGAAGACACTACGCTAGAGTATATGTAAACTCATCTTTCAAAAACATATCGTTTATACTCAAGATATTAGATAGACGTACGACAATCTATAATGTCATATAAATCACGATAAAAAATCTGGTCCCCGGAGTCGACATGCTATCAGGCAGGCAACAAACAAAGATGAGATAGCTGTACAAACCTGTATTATCGCAGCAAAGCTTCAAATCTTTAACAACAAGATGATTATAGATGTATAACACGAAAATAGCGATCAATATTAGTAAAGTTGGCTTAAGGATGTCATTTAATGTAAACATAAGTTGAAATTAAACAGTTCCATTAACTATAGCGTATAAATATCTTTCCCTATGTAAAATAATCTATACATTATCCTCAATAACGAACTATACACATTGTTGCATTTTAATATATACGAACTTTGACCTCGGGTGTGTTGGGAAACGTCATGTAAGGAGTCTTAAAGCATCAATATAAATTAGCAAACTTTGTGATCTATGTTACTTATTGAACTTAAATTGAGCAATACAAAATCTTAATCTTCAACAAAACATATCCAAAATATTACTATGAATGTATAAAAGTATACAATCGCTAAAAGATCACGTTTGCACGCTTTTTCTTCACCAACTGAGCAAAGATTCTCTTTTCTTTGAACTGCTTGTCGACAACCATTGAAAGATTATTCAAAACTCTTCTAAGGTTATCGTTTGCGCCTATTACGTAGGTTTGAGGGACAATATAAGTACATGCATGTACAACAAAGAACACGGGTGAAGGCTTTAATTCGTATTACTTACTTTCGAATACAGCGCATGTGCAAGGAATGGTAGTTTACGAAGAGTTCGACCACTTAGTTGATAACTTTTCTAAACAAGAAAATGAGAGAAAGAATACTTCGTAGGTTTATCACAGTGAGACGCTTGACTGCTCCTTGCAAGTTCAAAGGAGAAGGGCCTCCCAAAGAAACCTAACCAAAAGTCAACCAATATTCGTGATTATTTGAGAGTGGTCCATTACTTGATAACTACTGACTACGATAACAAAGAAAAAACATCTTTACGCCTTAAATGTAGATGTAATACAAAGTTAAATTTTATTTATGTTGCAAGTATTAAGACGGTATATTTTAAACCTCAGTCCTAAATTATTTGAGAACTCATCTGAACATGCACAAACAACTCAACAAACTGTTCGAGTTTACAATCATGGCAATGACAAACAGAACAAGCTTGCATCCTTCTGTGGTTCACTTGGTCACATATTGGGAAATCATAAATTTCAATTATAATGAGGAATTTAGTCATTTAACAAATTTTTCATATTCATAGTGATGGCAACAACAAGCTGGACCTATTTTCATCACTTACTGAGTAATTAATCGCTTGGTCACAAAAATATAAGAAGATCATCTGAGCATGCGCAGTACGCTTGGCATGCGCAGCTCAAGCATGCAAAGTCCACTTGACCAATTGTCCGAGTTGATAGTCATGGAAACGACCAACTACATTTACTAGCATCAATTAGGAGTATATAACTTGCTTATTAACAAACTATTAAAGATCTCAACTGAGCATGCGCAGTTAAATTGATTGGCTGCCAATGTTCATGGTCATGGCAACGACCAATTGCATCTACTAGCCCCGATTTTGAAGTAAATAGCATGTTTAGTAACAATTTAATGGAGAAATCATCTGCGCATGCGCTCGAGCATGCGCAGCCCACTCGACTAATTGTTTATAGTCATGGCAACGACTAACTAGATGTACTTGCACTACATCTGGGGCAATTATCCCACTTAATCGCAAATTATCAAAGAAATTATCTGGGCATGCGCAGTTGTGACTTTAATAATACCACAAATTTCGTAAGCCTCTAAATTTTTGTATATATAAATATAAATCTATAGCTTCATATAGTAGATGTCAACTAGCAGTGGAAGCTGGGTGCGATATAGTATGCAGTGGCTTAGGGTCCACACTTCGGTGGCGACCGCACTCTCCCTGCGTACCCCGAGCAAAGCCTATCGCAGGTGATCTCGGGGTCTGATGGGCGGAAGCTTGCTATTGCATCTCCCAAGTAGGATAGCGTGGAGGGGCCGAAATCTGCTACCGAAACGTTAACATGCCGCGTTTTAGTGCCTTACGCTTAAGAAGGTATCGGGAAGCATGGACCGAAAACGGGTTTTTCCTTTCAAAATTTGTCTTTTTTCTTTACAAGAATTCTTCTCATAAAAGAAACTAGAACATACTGCCAGGGTTCAGACAACTTCTGAAAATCCCCCGGGCGTAGTTTCGTTTTCTTTGTAAAACGAGAAGAATACTAACTTGAAAACATGAAGACTGGGTGACATAATATTTACCATAAACTAAGACAAGAAATGTTTATTTTACTCTGTGACATCACTTTACTTTAAAGTGAAAGGTTTGAACATGGGAGTATCGTTACATGTTTGTAGATGTAGATCGTCCAGGTTAGTAAAGTCCTGAAAAGAACTGTTGTTGTTGATGCTGACTCTAAAGATGACTACCGCTAAGGTTGTTAAGAAGTCAGTCAACATCAACATCAACAGTCCTTCGCAGGACACCACTAACCTCGACGATCTACATCTACAAACATCTACTACTCGGCTATCTTCTTTAATTCAAGACTACAGTGTGTTACATCGTTGTCGACAAAGCTACAATGGAAAATAGGGAAAAAAAGTTGTACATCGGAAAAGAAAACCATGTCATCAACATAGAAGTGAACAAAAAAATTTCTAACAAACACCGTCAATTTTCGTCAAAATAAAATTTCGTGTATTTTTCAGTTGTACCTTAAATCCAAAATTTGAGTGGCTGGTGATATGATACTGGTCTGTGATGAAACGGTGAACATTAATTTTGATTATTAAAAAATTATCTACAATGCAATCGTTTGCAATCAATTTCTATATAGCTGCACACCTCTCTATTTAAGCAAGATGTTTGTATAACTTGCACAAACGACTATATTGTGGTATGGAAATAAAGCAGTAGACGTAAAGGTACAAAGTACTGAGAAGAGGGGATATACTTCACGAGGCAAATTGTTGTTTTATATTGTATATGATGACAGGTTGCGGTAAGCCATTTCGGCGTTCCTTTTGGCCAGAAAACATAATTGACCGGCAGCCATTTCGTTGATCACGTGCACAAGAAGACATAAGTTACATACAAACAAATGGTAAATTTTGTAAATAGCTTTGGCTGATGGCGGACCAATATACTGTTTGATGTCGGCTCTGTGGGCGAACAAATAGCGAAGTTAGATGAGAAAGTGAATTAAAAAACTTTCGAGTCACAAACATATTTTCAACCTGTCCACGAACGCAACGTCTATGGCTCTAGTTATGTTCGATGTTGTCAATATAATTACATTAGGATGTCTGAAATAAGAAGAAAACAACATTGGGGAAGACTAGGTTTAGCAAATAAACGCATAAATGTAGTTCAAATCAAGACTTCTGTAAATACGTAATTGATAGATAATAAGTATTTGACTGAGCAAAGTTGTCATCAAGCAAGTTTGTTCATGTCATATAAATATTTTCGTGCTTTTACTCCCTGTAAAAGCGACAACATTGTAGAGAAAGAAATAATACATAGTTCTAAAGATAGCAAATACCATAGTGAATGGTAAATGTAATATAATAAGTTGATAAAGACTGTTGTCTTGGCATTATAAATATCGGTAGATTGTAAATTTTCATTCAGCAGACGTTGACACCTGAGGAGTAGTCTGCCGAAATGCATCGTGTCGTTTAATTTAGAACTATTGGGTTAGTGCTCTTTACTTACAACAGTTCTTGTAAGAACTATCAACTTATTATATTACTTTTACCATTTACTATGGTATTTGCTATCTTTAGAACTATTTTCTACAAAGTCTCTATTTTATTAAATAATACATAACGCAACAACCCTGCCGGCTGGCCTCGCCGTTCATATAACCGAATACAATCTCTTAGTTCACTAAAAAATCCATGAGAACGCAATGTTCGCCGAAATGCATATTCTGCTTATATTTTGCATTTACAGTTTTATATGGTCAATTTGAGTGAAATGCATTCACAACACGAATGGCATCTGAAGGTTCTTGTCCGTTCAACGCAGATTTTCTTGCCGATGTTAAACTTTCAACCTTCAGAAGTAAAAGATATGGATAGCAAAGGTATTTTCCTTAAACATTACCGACAAGCGTACATGTGCTTCGGGTATTTTGTGAAACAAGAAACACAAATAGTAAATGATTTCTCATCTATCTGACCATGAGCATTAAGAAAGAAATGTTTAAGCAAAGTTTACCTCGTCGATAAGAACGCAAACTAAAGCTTATTTGTCGTCAATAAACTCTTGAATTTTCTGAAACATTTTCATCATTAACTTTCCACTCTGTTTGTAAGGAAAGATAATGTCAATGTACATTTTAAATTACAGATGCTTTTTAATTGGATATGATCATTTTGTGATACGGAACTAGATTTATTAACTTCAACGACATCTCAATCCCAGGTATATAAATGTCAGTTTTCTGAACTGATATTTTGATGTGAGCCGTGCATTTTATATTGACAGGGGGTGACGACAAAGGTTTCACGGAAAATTTATGGCAATGTAATTTTTGGTTCCAGAGGATTTTCGCACTCGGTGATGTTGCTTTGAGCTATTCAAAATGATGCCTACCTCGGAAAATAAACTGTGAATGTTTATTTCAATAAGCTGGCCATAGTTAAATCTAAGGATTCAAAAGTAGAAACACACTTTAATTTATAGTTCATAATCCTTAGGTAGACGACAATTTCATTAAAACAAAGTAAAAGATAATGCCAAAAGAACATCTTGTAAACTTAAATAAAAGTTACAAAGCAAAACAATTGAAAGTGTAATATTTACATTTTTAATCGTCTTGTTTTCTAAATTTGATGTTGAGTTTACAACATTTTTCGGATATAACCTTTTTCGGATTATACTTTGTATTTATAATTCACGACATAACAATAAAATTACGTGGCAATATTAGTTGCATTACACACATGGATAGTAATGGATTGCGATTTACGTAACATCAAAATAAAATGTAGTGTTTTTACCTTTTAGAAAGTCGTATGGATAATTTTTGAGCAAGCGCCTTGCATAAGGATGTTTCACCAGTACCGGTTGGCTCTGTGAAAGTTTTAAAGAAAAGCTCAACTCATTCTTCTGGATATTTGCAGTAGATCACGTGAAGACAAACATGATGTACTATGAGTGGTAAATGCTGGTGTTTGATTGGCTTCGTTGTTTGTTTTCGAGTGACGTCACAGCGGTACACAAACATGGTAGCCTTGACGTCATTTAATAGTTGGCTCGTTAAAACACCATCACGTCTCTCGCGTTTCATTCTATATGATTGTAGCTAACTTATTCTTATCAATACTTTGATATGTGATTTTCAATCTTGAATGTTATGAGTGATAAGAGATTTACTCCGTTAAGATGAGAGTTGTTACAAAGTCAACACACGCAAAATAGAATCTAATTTGATTCGCAAAAGATACACGTGACGGACGATGACGCAAGGACTCACGTCTGGTTACCAAGGAAACTAACTTACCATGCAATAAGGTAACTTTATTTCACGAGATGATGTTGAAATCCACGCCTCTAAAATATGATTCAAACACGTGACTAATATATACTTTGAAAATGTCATTGTTTGGGAGTGATTTTAAAAGATGGAAAAACGAATGATTTTGCAATTTGGCTTCTCTAAAAGTCTTCAGTTCAATAGTTTCATTTCACACGACAAACCTGTCGGAGAAGAGAAGTGTCGTTGCCGCATATTTTAGCAACTAAAAATAAGATAAAAATGAGATACATGAAATATCATAGTCATGGCACGACATATACTTTCGTAAATAAATTAGAACAACAAAATTTTTAACATTTTTTAATCGATATAACTCGCTAGAATTGCTGAGATGTGTATTTTTAATGTTTACTAAGTAAGCTTTGTCACCACTACGGTGCACAATGTCATCGCTTGCGTAAACCTTTTGAAAATATTAGAGATTAATAAGTTAGCAGATCAGTAACTCCGTTGATCAGTAACTCCGAGTACATAATGTACATTGGAAAATAGGAGAAATTAGGAAAATCCTTAAAAAATCTATTTGACGTTTTGACAGCTAACTGTTTAAACGTTAACTTATTTCGGCGCTAAAGACGTCCTTAACAAGCTACAATTTAAACTTCGCTTACGAGAGAAATCATTAAATGTTCATTATGAAGAACAACCTGATTTTTCACATCCGAGTCAAAGAGCAAGCTTTTCCACAAGCCCTGAAAATCCTCTAAAATGATGAATTAATTGTATTAGTTGCTAATACTTATAACTCGTGAAAGCGAAAAGACCTGGGACTGAAGTGAGTTGACCACCTGCAGGCAAAATTTACCCACCTGTAGGCAAAAGCCAGTTGTCTGGAGCAGATATATCATCCTCAAGTTCTTCATATCCATGCCCCCCATCATGAAGTTGATAGACATGATACTTTAGCATAACTTTTTTCAAATCAATTATCTGTTAAAAGAATTATGAAGGTTTGACAGAAATATGTACTTCATGTAAATCTTCATTATCAAACTACCGTAAATGCTCGAATAAGCGCCCAGCTTCCAATAAGCGCCCCGCTTCGAATTAGCGCCCCCCCTAGGACTCAAATTTTGAAATAAGCGCCCCCCCCCTCGAGAAAAGACGGGTTTTGCTAAGCGTCCTCTCAAATAAGCGCCCCCCACCCCCCCACCCTTCCCCCGATAAAAGATGAACTTCGGTACTCAGTTCGATACACAGTATTTTTAATTTTTTACATCGGTAACGGACATTCGTTAGAACTCAAAATCAATGTTCTTCAGAGGTTTGCTTCTCATTTGCTTGATTTCAATATCCATGTGGGCACATAGGAGCTTTACTTTATCAAGTTCCTCGTTAAACTTTGCTCCCAGTCGCCGGCTTCGTGTTACTGCTTTAAAAGTTCCTGGAACAACTAGGCCGTTTTCAAGTTTTCTTTTCCAGTTACTTTTACCTCCACCGCATTATCCTCATGAGCTCGTAAAAATGTAAACACGAGGAAGGAAAGTTCAATGGGCGCATGTCCAACCAGCTTGCCACTGTCTTGAATAAATGTTCCAATCGCATATTCATCGTGCTCTTTAGCCTCCTTTCGATCGTCTTTCCGACACACTAGCCGTTCTCCAAGCTGTGGTGACCATTCAGCTTTATAAACATGGTGTCCTCTTATCACAGACGCAAATTCTATTTCGTAAACCATTTGCCAAGTAAAGGTATAGCTTGAACGCGCCATGTTGTAAACAGCAGATGAATGTCACACACGTGTTTGGTAGCACGTGATACAATGTGATCTTCTCATGGGAGGTCTTTTCCGGCCTTCTCGCATTACAGCATGCTTACCTTTGACATCATGGACGAAAGTATAACTCTAGCATCTACATCGCACGCAGGATTGAAGAACTCTTCTTATTCTAACGAATTTAAACTTAAGGCTGTTCAATTTGCCGAAGAGTGTAACAGTAACCGAAAAGCCGCAGCAAAGTTTGGTGTCGACCGCAAGAGAGTAAGAGAATGGCGACAAAAGAAAAGCAAATTGGAAGATACTAGCAGCAAGAGAAAGCGGCTTGAAGGAGGCGGACGAAAGCCATTCGATGAAGACCTAGAAGAAGCATTATTACAGTGGGTACATGAGCGCCGTTCCAATGGCCTTCGTGTTTCCAGAAAAATGATCGCAAGCAAAGCAAAATTTTTCGATAACGAGAAATGCAAAGAGAAGGAAATGCCACCATCGTTTCTTGCCAGTTCCGGTTGGTTACAGCGGTTCATGTCAAGACATGGTTTGGCAATCAGACGCAAAACCACTGAATCACAAAAGGACCCGAGAAAGTGATAGACAAACTCATAGCGTATGTTTTGCAGATTCGCCGGCAACGTAAAAATCGCTTACCAAGACAGGGATATCATTGCAATGGATGAGACAGCAGTATGGCAAGATATGGTATCCAATACCACGGTCGACAACATTGGCGAAAGCACAATTCGATTGAAAACAACTGGCCATGAAAAACGAAGGTTTCAGTGTGTTTGACTGCAAGGGAGACGGTACCAAACTAAAGCCGTTCATCGTTTTCCAGGTGCCAAGAGAGAGTCGAAAGCACTGAATGAGGAATTCAGAACAAAGTGTGTCGTAGCGTCCTCGATTAATGGATGGATGAATGAAGAACTAACCGTTTCTTGGGTTAAAAGTGTCTTGGGCCAGTTTTCGTTCACCAGACGGATGCTGGCTTGGGATTCTTTAGATGCCACGTCTTAGACAGCGTTAAACAAGAGCTCAATCGCGCAAAGATAGATCCTGTAATTATACCTGGGGTGTACGAAATATATCCAAGCGCCTGATGTATCGTGGAACAAACCATTCAAAGCCAAAGTGACTGAGAGATATGACGAGTGGATGGCAAATGGTCAACACACGTTTACTGCAGCAGGGAACATGCGAGCTCCTCCTAGGCGAGAGATTGTCCAGTGGATCATTGAAGCATGGAATGATCTGGATAAGGACATTATTGTTAACTCCTTCAAGTGCTGTGCGCTGACACTTGCTGTCGACGGTTCTCAAGATGAGCTGATACACTGCTTAAAGCCGAGTCAACCTTGTCATTCTGGCCTGGCACAACTGAAGGCAGTTCAGCAGCAACTTCAGCAAACACTGGAGAATGATCCTTTTCAGGATATCACGCTATCAGATGTTGAAGATGCTGCTCCTGTGTCAACATTGCTTGATGACAGCGATACAGAAATTGAGATTGATTAAGGATCAAATGGTTAGCGAAAGACGCGATATAGCATAAACAATGTCAGTACTATTTTCATTGTGTGTTAAATTGAAGACAACCGCTGAACATTAACGGCAGGCTTTCTTTATATATACAAAACATTTCACGATGTTAAACGCATTGTACAATACACATGCCCTTTTAACGGGCACCAGGAAATCGCTTGGAGAACATTTCAAGTTTCACAAAATGTTAATGTTGCTTTCTAGAATGTTAACGTTTTCAAAATTTTCATACTTATGTTACAGTTAAGGTCACAAGAAATAAAAATACCAGTGTCATTTTCACGTCAAAAAAATGAAATAAGCGCCCCCTTCCAATAAGCGCCCCTTCGAATTAGCGCCCCTCTCGCCTCCAAAATTAAATAAGCCCCGGGCGCTTATTCGAGCATTACGGTAAGTCAATCCTCTAAGAGTTCTTGCATTTTCTTTTCCGTGGGGGTTCAACAAAAAGGGATGTGTGACATACCAGGGGGGTGTGAACAACCTACTCTCACACATGCGAAAGTAAATATTGTCTGATCATAGGGTCAATAACCCTGCCATATGTTGAAAAATTATCTGTGTCATACACAATAGTTATGCTCTTGACATGTTCCATTAAAAAAGGATCAACAAATTCTACGAAACATGAGTCGCCATGAATTGTTTTCATGTTGATAAGAAAGTCTTTGACAAGCTTTATAATTCTATACTCTGGGATAGTGCTAAAATAAAGTGGTAAATACTATTAAGATGTTAATGCTTATTATCAAATTGAATAAATGGTTTTGTTCACGTTTTGACAGCACAGTGGTATTTGAAGAAGTGAGTCTGTTGAAGCACAACATATGACCAGTGACGTCAATCTAGTAACATATTAAAATTATTCAAGTTTCTTTACAAAACAAAAACATGATTTGTTCATTACCTAGTTTCACCTGTAGCATGGTTTCACTAACACAGACTCACTCAACTAGATTATTACATGAAATGCAATTCAATATCCTTCTGCATACAGTCCTTTGTTCATATTATGAACTAACCTTTCTTTGCATTCATTTACTTCGACGTTTAAGAATGGCTGACTTGGTAAAGGCAGTGCTTCAGAAAGTTCTTGAACTTTATCCATTTTAACGATATTGCTTTAGTTAGAGATGTTATACAAAAGATTATTCACAATATTGGCTGTGTAGGAAAAAAAACTTAAATATCTTTGCTATGTAGAAATAAAAAATAAATATCGTTTCAATTTCCCGCTATGAAACTCAAAGTCAGACTCAGGCATAACAATAACATATATATCTATTACCTTGTTTCAGCTTTCAAAAAAAACTTTATATGTTCTTTAAAATATTATTTGTCTTTCACTCTTTTACAACAGATATGTGGAGAGAAATATTCTTGCGGAGAACGAATGCTTGTGAGGTTTAAAATTAAAAATTGTTATGTTGTTTTCTTGGAAGACGATATATAACTTTTACATGAAGTAGTTAACATGATAACGATGGTCAAATGTGGTCTTATTTCTAAGGAAATTTCTCAGAAAAGAATGGCCTATTTGAAGGAAATTTCTGGAAATTTCTCAAAAAATTAATTGTTTGGACAAATTCTTGGGCAATTCTTAAATTTTACAAATTTATATACACGCTTTTAATCGTGCTTGTTTTACAATATTTACAGTTGAGTCATTTTGGAAAACTGTATAAAACAAGATGAAGCATATGAAGTAAGAACAGAAGACTTTGTTACAACGATTCCGTCATTGTAGCAAACATATCCTAGAGCTTAATCTGAGGGGTGATGGCTCACCTGTATCACCATAGGATGCTTCTTGACATACGGTACACTGATAATACGTCAATCATCCCCAAAATAACTGAATAAAACCAACGTAATCCCTTCTCGTATAGAACGTCCTGTTCAAATCCAGCCAATCCAACTGTCTGAACAAAGCAATAATTTTTTTCATGAACTGTTTGAATAGAATATATCTATTTTTGAATGTTGTGTCAAGTGTCAATAAAGTGTTAAAGAAAAACAATAAGCAAAAGTTGGAACATTAACGTCTACGTAATCACAAGCATAAGCAACGAGCGTGCTTATGACTCTCTCGAGGGTTTACAGAAAAAAACATCAAAAATCATATTCTTCTTTTCAATATTTTATACTTCTTTCAGCTTAGGAAACAACATAAAAATAACACCACGCTTTTATGGGCAAATTTATTCCTAAAGCTCCTCCCACCCACTCAAAAGAGCGAAGTTACACCATTACACAGGCTTAAGGAAATGTGTTAGGCATTAGCTGAAAGAAGAACACAAAAAGAACAAGAGAAAAACGAAAGAAGATTTCCATGTCTTTCTGTGTAAACTCTGAAGAGAAAAAGAAATAAAGTTTTATCGTTTATGCTTATTCTATTCGTATGTACCATGCATTCAATTTTGTTTTCTCATGAGACCTAAAAGACCAGGAAAACGGAAATTCTTTTGAATATTGTTTTGTTTATGCTCATGTTGATTCTAATCCTTCATTTATTCTGTCTTGTTTCACAATTAATAATCACTTTTGCTTGTGCTGTAAGACTAGTATGACCAAAGACAGCACCAAAAGCACCTTCTCGTTGTGTAACTTTGCCATTGGAAGTTGAAAAGAAGAAAATCATTTTTCTATGACAGCCACAGGCTAAGTAACTCAATTTTAAAACAAATAATTTAAAAGTGTACACGGTTAAGAATCACTGACGATAATAAGAAAAGATGGCAATGAAGTGAACGCAAGAGCCAGGGTGTCACAATAATTTATGATGCTGAACATACTAAATTATTTGATCAGAGAGCCATGTTAAAGTACTAAGAAGTAACCAAAGTGATTAGTGATTTATTAACGAACATAATAAGTTCATGGTGCGATGATTTCCGATACTGAAAAATCAATTCATTTCTCTCGTATTCTATATTTCTAGACAACAAAGTTGACTTCAAGATGTTGCTAACGGAAGAAACAGATCATCCTTCGACCCAAAAACATCCTTCTTCATTGTCCATATCAATAATTCGACCGACCAACAGAGAGCTAGCTTATGTTTGATTATTGCCTAGTTCTGACACGTGCTTGATTTGGTAATAACTGGGGGATTTGGTAGTAAAGAGATGTGCTGTACTTGTGCAACAACTGACTGGCGCTTCTATATACCATGGAGTAATTTTGTAGATGTTAGCACAAATCAGTTAACATGCTTTAGAGCATGTTAATATAAGAGTGCTTCTTGCGCTCATATCTTGTGTAAAATTAAAACAAAATCTAATTTACATTAAATCAATCATCATGGTTGAAAAGAGAAATTGCAATACGCTGGCAGAGTATTGCAAAAATCTTTAAACTCAACATCTATGCGAAATGATTATCACGAGGCAGTCAGACTAGCCGTCTACTTTGAATATTTAATGGTTTATTTGTGCCTATGATTGCACTGTTATAATATTGAGGGATGTTATAACAGTGTCTACAAAGCAATAAAAAATTTAACTTCCGGTGATGTTCTAATGTTTGGTAAATGATTTAGCCAAAATAGCTATTTTGTATGATTGTATAGAACTATTGCAATCATAAAGATAATTCCTCGGGAGAGGAAACTGTTTCCAAATTTTCGAATCCAACTTGAGGGCTCGTCATGAATGCTCGTCTGTCCATTATGTTCAATGGAGATGATTGACTTCGTTTGAAAAATCTGACAGTAACTTTTGTGCCATAAAAGTAAACCTTTCCTGTAAATGTTTGCAGTTTACAGCTGTTTTCTGGAAATCATCGTAAAGTACCAGTTTTGATAGAAATTTCGACAGATCGTCTGCAAACACTGGTTTTTGAAAATTTATATGCTCCTACAGTTCGTCATGATTGTATTTTAACATTATTCTTACAGTTATTCATGGCACTGAACGATGAAGATTGAGACTGCGGTATGTGTTTGTTTGTCAGTTGTTTGCTTGTTTGCTTCATCATACTGCAACTTTTTCCTCAGTATTTTCAGATGCAGAGGTCGATAAGATCAAGAATAGCAGAACAGAGATGTAAGCATGTATTTGTTTGTATCGTTCATCAAATCTTCTTTGCTTCAATTTCTTTCAGAACCACATTGCCGTAACCTGTCATTGTCAAGCAACGCTTCTTGCAGTAAGTTAAACCAATATTTATTACTTATTTTGGAGAAGATATTAAAATTTAAAGAAGGCATGTTTCGAGAAGACAAAATTTTCGACTTCCATTCTTCGGTGTTTGCAGATGATCATAAACATGCACAAAAACACAAAACATGCACATAAAAGATTTTTACAATATTCTAACTAAACTAGAGAGTTCCCTCGCTCTCTAATTTAGTGAAGAATTTCAAAAGAAATTCAAGTATTCCAAAAGAGACTTCTGCCACCTATTTTGAAATAACTTGCACAAAATTTCAAGCAGCGTACACTTGATATTCTCATAGAAATTTTTTGTAATTAAAATAAGATCATACGTATGTAATATAAAATTTGACTAAATCAAAACAATTTTTCAAATGATAGCCAAGTATTCGAAACTTCGATGTAAACTAATAGAATTTGTATGAATACAATTAATAAGAACTTACTGTTTGTTCATTCTTGGAGGAAGATTGGGTGGTTGGAAATGGCATTAATTTTTTGGGAAACGGATGTTTTATATGGACCGTTTACATTCTATATAATAAGTCGTTCATGTTTTGATTGACGTTGTCAGTCAGTGAATTGTAAGTCAAGATGTATCAACTATGAAATACAACCGGAAATCCTTATATATATGTGTCTCTATGTATTGTGTTCAAGAGTAAAACAATCTTCCTTATTATATTACATTTACCATTCACTATGGTATTTGCTATCTTTAGAACTATGTATTATTTCTTTCTCTACAATGTTGTCGCTTTTACAGGAGTAAAAGCACGAAAATATTTATATGACATGAACAAACTTGCTTGATGACAACTTTGCTCAGTCAAATACTTATTATCTATCAATTACGTATTTACAGAAGTCTTGATTTGAACTACATTTATGCGTTTATTTGCTAAACCTAGTCTTCCCCAATGTTGTTTTCTTCTTATTTCAGACATCCTAATGTAATTATATTGACAACATCGAACATAACTAGAGCCATAGACGTTGCGTTCGTGGACAGGTTGAAAATATGTTTGTGACTCGAAAGTTTTTTAATTCACTTTCTCATCTAACTTCGCTATTTGTTCGCCCACAGAGCCGACATCAAACAGTATATTGGTCCGCCATCAGCCAAAGCTATTTACAAAATTTACCATTTGTTTGTATGTAACTTATGTCTTCTTGTGCACGTGATCAACGAAATGGCTGCCGGTCAATTATGTTTTCTGGCCAAAAGGAACGCCGAAATGGCTTACCGCAACCTGTCATCATATACAATATAAAACAACAATTTGCCTCGTGAAGTCAGTACTTTGTACCTTTACGTCTACTGCTTTATTTCCATACCACAATATAGTCGTTTGTGCAAGTTATACAAACATGCTTAAATAGAGAGGTGTGCAGCTATATAGAAATTGATTGCAAACGATTGCATTGTAGATAATTTTTAATAATCAAAATTAATGTTCACCGTTTCATCACAGACCAGTATCATATCACCAGCCACTCAAATTTTGGATTTAAGGTACAACTGAAAAATACACGAAATTTTATTTTGACGAAAATTGACGGTGTTTGTTAGAAATTTTTGTTCACTTCTATGTTGATGACATGGTTTTCTTTTCCGATGTACAACTTTTTTTCCCTATTTTCCATTGTAGCTTTGTCGACAACGATGTAACACACTGTAGTCTTGAATTAAAGAAGATAGCCGAGTAAGTAGATGTTTGTAGATGTAGATCGTCGAGGTTAGTGGTGTCCTGCGAAGGACTGTTGATGTTGATGTTGACTGACTTCTTAACAACCTTAGCGGTAGTCATCTTTAGAGTCAGCATCAACAACAACAGTTCTTTTCAGGACTTTACTAACCTGGACGATCTACATCTACAAACATGTAACGATACTCCCATGTTCAAACCTTTCACTTTAAAGTAAAGTGATGTCACAGAGTAAAATAAACATTTCTTGTCTTAGTTTATGGTAAATATTATGTCACCCAGTCTTCATGTTTTCAAGTTAGTATTCTTCTCGTTTTACAAAGAAAACGAAACTACGCCCGGGGGATTTTCAGAAGTTGTCTGAACCCTGGCAGTATGTTCTAGTTTCTTTTATGAGAAGAATTCTTGTAAAGAAAAAAGACAAATTTTGAAAGGAAAAAACCCCGTTTTCGGTCCATGCTTCCCGATACCTTCTTAAGCGTAAGGCACTAAAACGCGGCATGTTAACGTTTCGGTAGCAGATTTCGGCCCCTCCACGCTATCCTACTTGGGAGATGCAATAGCAAGCTTCCGCCCATCAGACCCGAGATCACCTGCGATAGGCTTTGCTCGGGGTACGCAGGGAGAGTGCGGTCGCCACCGAAGTGTGGACCCCTAAGCCACTGCATACTATATCGCACCCAGCTTCCACTGCTAGTTGACATCTACTATATGAAGCTATAGATTTATATTTATATATACAAAATTTAGAGGCTTACGAAATTTGTGGTATTATTAAAGTCACAACTGCGCATGCCCAGATAATTTCTTTGATAATTTGCGATTAAGTGGGATAATTGCCCCAGATGTAGTGCAAGTACATCTAGTTAGTCGTTGCCATGACTATAAACAATTAGTCGAGTGGGCTGCGCATGCTCGAGCGCATGCGCAGATGATTTCTCCATTAAATTGTTACTAAACATGCTATTTACTTCAAAATCGGGGCTAGTAGATGCAATTGGTCGTTGCCATGACCATGAACATTGGCAGCCAATCAATTTAACTGCGCATGCTCAGTTGAGATCTTTAATAGTTTGTTAATAAGCAAGTTATATACTCCTAATTGATGCTAGTAAATGTAGTTGGTCGTTTCCATGACTATCAACTCGGACAATTGGTCAAGTGGACTTTGCATGCTTGAGCGTGCTGCGCATGCCCAAGCGTACTGCGCATGCTCAGATGATCTTCTTATATTTTTGTGACCAAGCGATTAATTACTCAGTAAGTGATGAAAATAGGTCCAGCTTGTTGTTGCCATCACTATGAATATGAAAAATTTGTTAAATGACTAAATTCCTCATTATAATTGAAATTTATGATTTCCCAATATGTGACCAAGTGAACCACAGAAGGATGCAAGCTTGTTCTGTTTGTCATTGCCATGATTGTAAACTCGAACAGTTTGTTGAGTTGTTTGTGCATGTTCAGATGAGTTCTCAAATAATTTAGGACTGAGGTTTAAAATATACCGTCTTAATACTTGCAACATAAATAAAATTTAACTTTGTATTACATCTACATTTAAGGCGTAAAGATGTTTTTTCTTTGTTATCGTAGTCAGTAGTTATCAAGTAATGGACCACTCTCAAATAATCACGAATATTGGTTGACTTTTGGTTAGGTTTCTTTGGGAGGCCCTTCTCCTTTTGAACTTGCAAGGAGCAGTCAAGCGTCTCACTGTGATAAACCTACGAAGTATTCTTTCTCTCATTTTCTTGTTTAGAAAAGTTATCAACTAAGTGGTCGAACTCTTCGTAAACTACCATTCCTTGCACATGCGCTGTATTCGAAAGTAAGTAATACGAATTAAAGCCTTCACCCGTGTTCTTTGTTGTACATGCATGTACTTATATTGTCCCTCAAACCTACGTAATAGGCGCAAACGATAACCTTAGAAGAGTTTTGAATAATCTTTCAATGGTTGTCGACAAGCAGTTCAAAGAAAAGAGAATCTTTGCTCAGTTGGTGAAGAAAAAGCGTGCAAACGTGATCTTTTAGCGATTGTATACTTTTATACATTCATAGTAATATTTTGGATATGTTTTGTTGAAGATTAAGATTTTGTATTGCTCAATTTAAGTTCAATAAGTAACATAGATCACAAAGTTTGCTAATTTATATTGATGCTTTAAGACTCCTTACATGACGTTTCCGCACACCCGAGGTCAAAGTTCGTATATATTAAAATGCAACAATGTGTATAGTTCGTTATTGAGGATAATGTATAGATTATTTTACATAGGGAAAGATATTTATACGCTATAGTTAATTGTAACTGTTTAATTTCAACTTATGTTTACATTAAATGACATCCTTAAGCCAACTTTACTAATATTGATCGCTATTTTCGTGTTATACATCTATAATCATCTTGTTGTTAAAGATTTGAAGCTTTGCTGCGATAATACAGGTTTGTACAGCTATCTCATCTTTGTTTGTTGCCTGCCTGATAGCATGTCGACTCCGGGGACCAGATTTTTTATCGTGATTTATATGACATTATAGATTGTCGTACGTCTATCTAATATCTTGAGTATAAACGATATGTTTTGAAAGATGAGTTTACATATACTCTAGCGTAGTGTCTTCATCAGGAGTGATCTGATGTTGAAACTTGAGTCCTTATATACTCCAGTCTAGTGTCTTCATCAGGAGTGATCTGATGTTGAAACTTGAGTCCTTATATACTCCAGTCTATGTTTTCATCAGGAGTGATCTGATGTTGAATCTTGAGTCCTTATATACTCCAGTCTTATGTTTTCATCAGGAGTGATCTGATGTTGAATCTTGAGTCCTTATATACTCCAGTCTAGTGTCTTCATCAGGAGTGATCTGATGTTGAAACTTGAGTCCTTATATACTCCAGTCTAGTGTCTTCATCAGGAGTGATCTGATGTTGAAACTTGAGTCCTTATATACTCCAGTCTAGTGTTTTCATCAGGAGTGATCTGATGTTGAATCTTGAGTCCTTATATACTCCAGTCTAGTGTCTTCATCAGGAGTGATCTGATGTTGAAACTTGAGTCCTTATATACTCCAGTCTAGTGTCTTCATCAGGAGTGATCTGATGTTGAAACTTGAGTCCTTATATACTCCAGTCTTATGTTTTCATCAGGAGTGATCTGATGTTGAATCTTGAGTCCTTATATACTCCAGTCTAGTGTCTTCATCAGGAGTGATCTGATGTTGAAACTTGAGTCCTTATATACTCCAGTCTAGTGTCTTCATCAGGAGTGATCTGATGTTGAAACTTGAGTCCTTATATACTCCAGTCTTATGTTTTCATCAGGAGTGATCTGATGTTGAATCTTGAGTCCTTATATACTCCAGTCTAGTGTCTTCATCAGGAGTGATCTGATGTTGAAACTTGAGTCCTTATATACTCCAGTCTAGTGTCTTCATCAGGAGTGATCTGATGTTGAAACTTGAGTCCTTATATACTCCAGTCTATGTTTTCATCAGGAGTGATCTGATGTTGAATCTTGAGTCCTTATATACTCCAGTCTAGTGTCTTCATCAGGAGTGATCTGATGTTGAATCTTGAGTCCTTATATACTCCAGTCTTATGTTTTCATCAGGAGTGATCTGATGTTGAATCTTGAGTCCTTATATACTCCAGTCTAGTGTCTTCATCAGGAGTGATCTGATGTTGAAACTTGAGTCCTTATATACTCCAGTCTAGTGTCTTCATCAGGAGTGATCTGATGTTGAAACTTGAGTCCTTATATACTCCAGTCTTATGTTTTCATCAGGAGTGATCTGATGTTGAATCTTGAGTCGTTATATACTCCAGTCTAGTGTCTTCATCAGGAGTGATCTGATGTTGAATCTTGAGTCCTTATATACTCCAGACTAATGTCTTCATCTGGAGTGATCTGATGTTGAATCTTGAGTCCTTATATACTCCAGTCTAGTGTCTTCATCAGGAGTGATCTGATGTTGAATCTTGAGTCCTTATATACTCCAGTCTTATGTTTTCATCAGGAGTGATCTGATGTTGAATCTTGAGTCTTATATACTCCAGTCTTATGTTTTCATCAAGAGTGATCTTTTATTGAAACTTTCGCTAGTGTTATTTAACCATGTTATCTAAAACTTTATCCTACATAGTCCATTTTGTATTTGTGTTTCCACTTGTTTTCTTTAATGTTTTAAAATAATGTTCTTGACAGCAGAGAATTATTCTCATTATGATTTGGTCGTTGGAATACTTTCATCGCGCGGCAACTTTGATTTGAGGCAAAGTTTACGTGAATCATGGGTTGGCTATGCAAGACGACATTCATCTCTAAATAAAAGGTAAGCACAGGGAAAACACTGAATTTTCTTGAGGGTAGCTGTAGTGTTTTTTGTATTCAATTAGAGCTACTTAGCGTGTGAAACGTTACAGCAAACACAATATTTGTGAAGGTAAAGTGTAGAACAGTGTTTCAAATTGGCCTGTCGCGTTTACAACGAATTTCTTTAATACCAGAGAACGTTTACAACGTATTTCTTCAATACCAGAGAACGTTTACAAAGTATTTCTTCAATACCAGAGAACGTTTACAACGTATTTCTTCAATACCAGAGAACGTTTACAACGTATTTCTTCAATACCAGAGAACGTTTACAACGTATTTCTTCAATACCAGAGAACGTTTACAACGTATTTCTTCAATACCAGAGAACGTTTACAACGTATTTCTTCAATACCAGAGAACGTTTACAACGTATTTCTTCAATACCAGAGAACGTTTACAACGTATTTCTTCAATACCAGAGAACGTTTACAACGTATTTCTTCAATACCAGAGAACGTTTACAACGTATTTCTTCAATACCAGAGAACGTTTACAACGTATTTCTTCAATACCAGAGAACGTTTACAACGTATTTCTTCAATACCAGAGAACGTTTACAACGTATTTCTTCAATACCAGAGAACGTTTACAACGTATTTCTTCAATACCAGAGAACGTT